GTTTTTTCTATTGAGACTTTGAATAAAAAACATGGAAGAAAAATCGTGTTTTGTCAGACACAGACAGAGATACTGTCCGTGAATTGCAAGAAACTTGTTTGTCTGTGTAAACCATGATGAGAAGGACCCCCCCCCCCCACCAAATAACCATTCTTTTTACACCGCAGGTTCATATCTACATGTATTATGAATATATTTATACAAGTGCCAAGTCCAAGAAAAGACGTTTGCACGCAAGTCTAATATATGTCACCTATGAACTATTATATACGCGGTCTTTATGAATGCCTGAATACATCGATAATCAACACAAGCCACGGTCCAGAGTCCGCCTGTAGCCTCCAGATTGAAAGAGGATTTTGGCCGTGATTAGAAAGACACCAAGTTTGCACTAGAAAATGCGAAGTGTTTGTAATCTAAACATTTTGTTTCCAGTGCATGTATTTTACCTTAGGTCCCTGAAAAAAAAAGTTTGGTGATTTTGCTTTGCATAAGCCTGCCCTGATATTACCACCTAAAAATATTGAAGATCTATAACAATGAAACGAAAGCCAAAAAATGAAAAACTCAAACATTAATCAAAATTGCGCTGTCGCCCTATGCGGGCTCATCAGTAGATTAAGCAATTAAACAGATACATATACCTGCAAAGATCAAGATTGTGACTCAAACTGGACTCAAAGTGATGCACTCAGTTTTTCTTAAGAAGGTTGACACACGAGAATAATCATTTTAGAGTTTCTTTAGTAAGGACATTCTTCAAAGGCTGCTCCATTTGCCACCTCCATTTTTGTTTACATTCCATCCCTAAGTTTCGTTTTCTTTTTTACTCATCGGTAACCCCTTCCCCCTTCCACACAGACACATACTGCTTCACGTCTCTTAGTAAATAGAGATAAAGGATTACTCTGGGTAATGGATTTAAAGGGGATCAAACAGTTACTTGCCCTGGTTGGAATATTTATTGTAAATGCTGCATGGCACAGCTAGTTCGTGTTCATTTTGCATTTGCATTGATAATTGATTTGGGAAGGGGATCATAGGTGATGATAAACCATGTAATGGAAGACATGTGCAGTACTTGGTAAAACCTTCATAGGGAAACGTAGAATGAACTAAATTTAAATTCAAATTCATGCATGCATAAAAGTGAGACCAGTAAAAAGTTCCAAATTCATGTAAACTCGTATTAATACTGTAAGTCATTTTATTTTAATCCCGATGTAAAAATTTTAAATTTTGCTTTATGCATACGCTACCGATTTCAATTACATATTCCCAGGTACATATAACTATATTGATCAATCAGATTAAAATCAGCTGTAAGTTTTTGTTTCGCTACGTTTAATACTAACCCAGGTACTACGTTGTTCGTCGTAAACGTAGACAAACAGCTGGGGGTATGTGTACAGATAAAAAAAAAATTACATTAGTGAAGTGAAGTGAAAACTGAAAAAAAAATAGCCATATCCATGAGAAATGAAAATTTGAAAAATAATTTTAATTAAATCTGGTGATGTTTAAACTTAATTACAGTGGATATATATCTTATAACCCCACCCCACCCCCTTCATCCTTATACAAAGAGTTGAAATTAAGAGCAATTAAAAATTTGACACTGGTATTAATATTATAATTCATTCACTTATAATTCATGTTTGTTATTAAAAAAAGTAATGGCATAATGTCATTTTTATTGAATAGGTGTTTATGTAAAATGTAGGGTGGAATCGAGAGTTAGTGTGCATAGATCTTTGTCATACTCTCCCCATGGCCGTCATATAAAACTTAATGATATATACTGATGATATTGTATTTTCGAGTACATAACAGGGTATTGTGAATTCTTATATGCAGATCGCTGGAACTAGGCAGGTAATTTTATCCATTGATAACACTCTACTGAAAGTAATAAATATATAATACCTATGATTTGTTAGGAAGCCCCTTCTCAAAATTGCTATTTTTGTAACCATGGCAACATACACTGTTCCTTGAAAAAAAGAAAATACAAAATTAAAAAAAAAATGTGCATCTTTGTACGCTCTACATGTGTACCAAATTTTATTGAAGTCAGTAAAAAAAACTGTAGGAGGGAGAGCGATTAAAAAATTGCTGACGACAATCAGACAGTTGTAAAGCCGAAGTCGAACGGATGAGGTATTGACATTGTGTAATTGTATAAACTCTTTCTATTAAATAAAATTGACCAGCAAAACTAAAAACTAATTGAATGCATGCTTTGTTTTAATAGTAACACCATATCCTCTGGTTTGGAAACATTATTTGTAAAATTGTTTGTATTTCAGGGAAGAATAAAAAGAGAAAAGCACATATTTTGGCAATTATGGGTCTCAAACGTTGCCATGGCAACCGTGACGTCAAATTACTCTGCATAATCAAATACTTTAGGATCTTACCTTTCAGAAAATATATGGGTTACTCTATGTAAAAGTGACTAAAAAATGTCTAAAATTCTATTTGAACTTTTTTAGGTATTTATGTAGAAAAATTGCAAAATCTCTGGCCGTTAAAGGGATAAAACGAATTTAATAATTGTTATTTTGACATTTACGCAATTGGAATATTTACCTAGGGATCCGAATGCAAATGTTTACAAAATCCTCTGAATTTGAATGAAGAACAACCATCAGAGACATGTAATGTTACATGTAATATCGGAGCTGATGACCATTATTTTGACGAATGTGGTGGACAAAGGGCTTATTCAGTATTTCAGTCAGCTGGTAATAGAACTCTTTTAATACATGCACATTATTTATTTTTAACTAGCTAAGTTATACAATTTACCACGATGAATTAAATTTCAGCTTTTTTGACATTATAGACACTGCTTCTTTTATAATACAAGGAACATGTTAAATGACTTTCTTTGTCTTTGGTTATTTGCAAAATTATTTTGTTATAAAATATTCCAAGGATTCACATTTACCTCGAAGTTGATATTTGTATGAAGAATGTTCTTGAGTTACTTATTGACAATATCTATGTATTTTTCAAGACCAAGTCTTCCATGAATACATCGGAATTTTCATGTGAATATTTTGCATTTTTTATCAGTAAATATATTTGTACATGTACTTTCATACATATATGAAGCCTATGTTCCTAAACATTTACATGAAATTCATATATGTGTCCACTTCATATATTGTCGTAAACTTGAAATAAATATTAAATAGGGTCTGTCTCCTCTGTTTCATATTTCGATATTTTACTGCAATAAGACATTAATGGTAATTTAACAACAAAACTGTATGATAAACGTGATGACTTCAATTCTATTGTCAAATTTCCTCGTTGTGTAGCAATATGCATTTATATCCACAACTTTTCGAATATTAAAAGTAAATTTCAGAATATGAAAAGCCTTTCCATAGCTTGTTCTTGTTGTTTGAAACACTAGAGAAGGCATTAGAACTTGAGTTGAGTGAAAATGTCATTTAATGACCAGATAAACGACGAAAATGAACGAAAACACATAAATATACAATATTACATACAATCATGTAAATTATAGCTGCCGTGGGATAAGGCCAAACAATGAATAATTTCAACTTAGATATGATATATTGCGAGTTAGTGCTTATCCCAGCTATTGTTTGATAATGATTACCAAGTTTGTGTAACAAGAAGATGACGTAAACAAACATATTTCGATATTTTACTACCATAAGACATTAATGGTAATTTAACAACAAAACTGTATGATAAACGTAATGACTTCAATTCTATTGTCAAATGTCCTCGTTGTGTAGCAATATACATGTACCTTTATGACCTCAGTAGAATTTATGTCTCCTACTTGATTTTATTTCTAAAACGAGTCAAGCTATTAACAAATAAATTTATGAAACAAGATTATCAACATTTTAGTTTGAAGTCAACATTTTTAAAGTCCTATGCTCGGCACAATGACCTTGTGAGTAGGTACAATCAATAAAATCAAGGTTGACTACATTTTGTCATACTAAATGTTAGGCCATTGTTTTCAAAATGCATTTTCAGAATTTAATGTTTGTCCGATCCTGACAAGAAGCACGCAGCGATTATGACAGGTCGGCAAGGGATGCTAACTCCTCTATGGCTTCTGACCCCACATCTAATGCTTCTAGAGGTTCCTAGTTGCTCTGTTTCCTGTTTGTATTGTTTCAGAAATGGACTATTGAGATTAAATACTGTTCGTTATCACCAAATTCCATTCCCCTCCAACATCTTACATTTAAGATTTCTATTAAATTATTAATAAAATTATGAAGGAAAATATGATTTTAGATAATGTAATCAATTGTCAACACTTACTGTTGTCATCGTTTAATCATAACAAACGAATTATATATAAATATAATATACCATACATCGCTGAACAGCTTATAGAAATTTCATATAAATAGCGGATATTCAATGTTTTGTAGTTGAATATGGAATTTATTTCACGAGTGGGACAGGATTTTTGATATTTTCACGAGTGCGAAGCACGAGTGAAAATATCAAAAATCCTGTCTCACGAGTGAAATAAATTCCATATTCAACTACAAAACATTGAATTTTCTGTTTATTACATTTTTTTATAAATTCTTTGATTTTTCCTTTGCCTCTGTCTTTTTGTAATACAGTCATAGGCTCGTGACGTCATAGTTAAGCGGTTGAGACGTCATAGCTAAGTGAGGTGAAAACACTGTAAACATGAATTTGGAAACATATTTTTGGTAATTTTGACAGTTTTATTCGCTGTCAGAATAGTTTATTTATTTCCATCTATCTTATATATGGTCAAAGAAGATTTTTTACGGCAATGGGAAAGGAAATCGAGAGTTTTCCCGCACTTCTGATATTCGTCACACTGTGACAGGATATCATTTTGATATCCTTTCACACTGTGACAGGATATCATTTTTATTCAATGAATAAATTACAGTATTTCACGGGTAAAAATGTAATAATACATTATTTTTTAGATATGGAAAATAATCAAAATGAATCATTTTGTATTGGTATCCACTGCACAGAATTTCCGAAATTTTACTTTGAAAGTGATTGTAATCGAAGATACCAACCTTTATGCAAAAGTTGTGGTATGTTATTTCATGTAAGCTGAATCAACGTTCAATTTGATATGAATTTTAGCTAATGGAATTTTTCATTAAAATAATATAAACAATGTCTCATATTTTATTTATTTACAAATTATTATCTTTATTAAAACACTTTCCAAGTTTCATTTTCTTTAGTTGAAATATTTTGTACATGTAAAATTCATGAAACAGATTTGAATACAACTATGTATTGTAATGATTAGCTTTTTTGATTCTATCGCTTTTGTGTATTTCAAATGAATGGAATGATAAATAAGTACCCCCATTGCATGGTATATACAGACATAGTATGCAACCTCAAATTATATAATGTAGTCTAGTATATATATAGAAATAAATGTTCACATTTTCGCTTTAATTCCATTTAAGATGTTCCAGAAAATCGGGAGTTTGAACCCTGGTCAGCCGCAATGAAATACTGTAAATCTGCAAATTCGTCATCATACTTATTTTCCAATGTATTCTTGAACGATATCAACAGAACCTGTATCTCAATCAATAGTATATTTACTCAACCATCTTGGCTTGGAGTGGCTGCCGAATTATACAGTGGGATTGATCGTGGTATGATAGTATATCAATTTTTGTTGTTGTCGATAAGAACACCGTAATTTAAACATGTTAGATGCTCCTTTTGAAAATGCATTTTCATTCACATGAGGGATATATACATGTATATCACAAATACGTTATCAGTCACAAAATACGGTTAATCCTTCGTATTCGCATAATCTCACAATAAAATCTGTATTTTATGTTTTCTTTTCTGGTAAAACGAAGCTTTTTCAGAAATTATTAATACATTTACTTTTACTCTACGCTATTTAGTCTTTAATAAGTGATGGTCGTCCAGAGATTTTGTGGCTTTTTTTTTGTATATTGTTAAACGTATCTCAAGAGAAATGTTCACTGTTATGGAGACAGTGAAGAGTTGCAAATTTTGTCAAATACTCGGCACATACGGCCATTGAGCAGTGAGGGATCTTTTTCTTCCCAGCACCTACCGCGACACGGGACCTCGCGCGGTTTATTCTGTCTCATTCGAAGGAACGATCTCTACGTATCATAGTGGAATTTGAACCCTTAAGAAAGGATCAACTCCTTACTCCGCGACTCTAGAGCGGACGCTCTAAACACTGTGCCACGCGGGCGACTGTTTACTATGAATGAGTTGTAAGAACAAAATATATAACAATAAAACAAATTAACCCTTAGACACATTTTATCGCATTGTTATTGTTTTAGGAGGACATTTAGTCTGGGCAAGGTTCTACATAGCACTACACAAGATTTTTGTATAATTGCTGATTGCATCGCCTTGAAATAAAATTACTATCTTCCGTATAATTCTTTTAATTATCTCCATATTTCTGTTTGAAGCTTTAACAAACTTGCAAAAAATGAATTAAAATTTAAATTGATAAAAATACATACACAATTTGTATATTTTCGCTCCTACTATGGATTCATCGGGACTTTTAACGTTTACGTTGATGTTGCATATTTTAATATCTGATTCCGTGACTGTGCCAGGTACCCTACCACTGACCCATCAATATATCATAATTTTTCTTTTTTATAAATACTTCTTTCATTTTTTTTTATTCTAAGTGTTAGTCAAATGTATTTGCAAATTTTCCCTGAAAGACGTTTGTAGATATAAGGAAGAAAAGAATATACACTATGTCTCAATAATTTTGGAACAACCTATGGAAAGCCAACGGGTTCAAAAGTCCAACTCTGTAATTCTTAAAATATACACATGTTAACCTGTATTTGTAAACTGTAAATCTGAATTTCATAATTTGTCAATCGTTTTCTCACAATTTGTTTATTGTAACAATCCAACGTAATTTGACAAGTGTTAAACGCAAATGCAAGTGTTGCCGATTCCCTCATGTTATTCGTAGACTTGCGAATTGTCAACTTGTGATATGTAAATTGCACTTTCGTAATTTGTAAATTGTGCAAGGTTGCATTATGGTAATGCCTATTAAGACGAAAGGGGGCGCAATACGGGTGGCAAGTTAAATCGTTGCTTAACAAATAAATCTTTTCCCCAATTCTTCCCACCAAAAAAATATAAAGAAAGGCTGATGAAATGTGTACAAATTAATTTCATGTCTGTTCGTGAGACTGTTTGTTAAATTAACAGGGGATACTAAAGTAAAAACTCTCAACAATCCTGATTAATTTGAATTTTGATATTTTTAAAAGCCTTTTCTGCAGTGTGTTGGGGTTGGAGAGGTCTGGACCCCCTCAGATTTTCAATTATGAATTTTATACAGTAGAAACAATTAAGAAATAACCTTCGACCCCCTGTAAGGAGTTATGGACCTGTCTTAAACAATCAGAAGTGTCATATACATTAACCATCCCCCCTAACAAACACACACGAAAATGCGTTTGGATGACTTTTTGGCTTAGACTCCCCCTCCCACACACACACTTTCTTTGCAAATTTAGATATAATGTAGGCATTGAAAATTGAGGTTCACACCCCCCTCTGCTTCTTGTCATTATCGGGATATAACAAAAAAAAATCCAAATAAATATCCACTAATGAACATGTTTGAAGCATTTAAGGGTATGGTGACGAACTAAATGCATGTACTAGATGTAATAAGTGCTGTAAATGAATATATTTAAAATAAGTATTTTGTATGTTAACATTCACCTGGCTTTGGCAAGTCACGATTTCGTTTTTGAATTATCATTACAATAAACTCCTTGTTTCCTTAAAAAGAAATAAGCAAATAATACACATTCTATGTATGCGTTAATTTGTACGTAATTGAAGGCTGTATATGTTGTCATAGGAAATAAAATAGAAAAAGAGGAGGAGAAATATTATCATCAGTGCATGAAATGCAAAGATCCAAATGACTGCGACCATGCATTATGTTCTAAACAATTGACGGAAAGAGTATATTGCATGGAGGTATGTAAAACATCCAATTCATTATTCTGAATCAGGACACATCCTAGATACTGGAATGCAAATACTTTTGTGTTATCAATTGTATATGACAAATTCAATAGCTAATGAGAACAATTAAACAAAAAGTGGAATGTCAAAGCTCTTTTTTGGTTCAATCATATACAATACCCACCATAGTTTCTCTCACCAAATTGAACATCTTGTTAAATATACATGTATAAACATTTCGAAATCCCGTCAAAGCTTCAAAACCTTCTCCTTTATGGATAAAAAGTTATTCAGAAAGTTATTTATTGTTGTTAAAATAATACCATCTTTGCACTTTAGCTTGAATAGACTTTCATAAAAAGTGCTCTGTTAAACTCCTTTAAATCCTGTAGCTTAATAATACACGGGGTGAAAAGATTATATGTAATTGCATTACAATCATGAAAAAATAAGATTATTTATATTTCTTTTTTTTTTCAAATGAAACAACTTTGTTAAGAAATTATTGTTGAATCTTACAACGAAACGTTGTCCAATTATGAAGATTTCGGGAATTTCGAAATGTTTCTTTTTGATTAATGTTATACTTAACCCCTTATTTGAACAAAAATGTTACAGTAAGTAAGTAGTATTTGATTGATTGATCGATTTATTGTATGTTGTTTTACGTCCCATTCGAGAATTTTTTTCACTCATGTAGAGACAGCAGTATCTGAGAATTACTGTATTTTACACTATCTCATTTTGTTTTGCTCTCTCTCTCTCTCTCTCTTTCTGTCTCTTTCTCTCTCTGAGCCTCTTAGTTTACTCTTACTTACACTCAAATTATATTTACTTTTAAAGAATGATAATCCTGGAATCCATGGCACTGAAGATGACCTTCATTCGGCATCTCAACATTCAAGAATTCGAAACTGTAAACCTAAAGGAGAGAACAAAGCTTCTTCACCAAATGATCAAGACAAATCAAAAAGTAATTCTCTGTATGCTGCTCATCATACAGCTTTGTTTACTTACAACTGATTCCATGTTTAAAAAGATATACATATACATTTTTTTTCAGAAGAGAGCAATGTTTTCAAAATAGTCATCCCTGTAGTTGTCGTAGTAACGTGTCTTATTGGAGGATGTAGTGCAATTTTCCTGATATTGCGGTAAGGTTTGATTGTGTTTGTTTGTTTGTTTTTTTTTATTATGTCGTCCCGAACGAAGTCGGGGACGACATATTGCGATTATACGCATGTTTTTGTTGCACAAGCTGTTTCTCGGAGATGGCTGGAACAATATTCCTGAAACTTTCCTCAAAGGAGGATCACTGGTTGTAGTTGTGTTGTGTGGTTATTCAGTTTCAAAATGGCTGCCGTTGCCATGGAAACCTGAAAAAAGCGACGAATTTTGTCCGCGTGTGTTCTCTCTGGTCCCTTGAACAATCTTCATGAAATTTAATTGATGTAATGATAAGCATCTGTAATTGTGCTCATTGTATTTAAAAATTGGAAATTGTCAATAGTTTCCATAGAAATAGGGGGAAAGTGAAAATTCTTTAACTTTGATTTTTAAATCAAAGTACTGAAAGTACTGAAAGGACTGATACAAGTTGATGGTTTTCTAAGCTTAGCTATAATGGGTATTGTTTTAGTGATGAAAAAAATGAAAGTCTTGTCTAGTTCAGGACGACATGAGCTATTGCTTGCAATAGCAGACTTTCTAGTTTATACTTGTCTTTGTTCGTCAGGAAGTGTAAAGTATTCAGTAGCTTTCTTTTTTTATGAAGTTTGATAAATTATATACCAATATAATTGATTGTTTTCACCGTTTACAGTACGTTTTGCTTGTTTCTTCTCGGAAGATTTTCATTATATTCGTGTACTCAAAGAAAAAATAAATAAAAGACTGAACATATTTTCATGAGATATATGAAAATGCATCTTTAAGAGAAAAAAAATGAATTACATGCAGGCTTGATAATGGAAGACAAAGTTCAATATATTTATTTATTTATTCATTAATTTTGGGGGTTGATCGTTAAAAAGATACATTGAACGTTTCAACTTTATTTCGCTTCGTTTTGTCAAAAAGGTGTATACCTATTTTGTTATTAGGTTACTTATTTTGAAACTGTCCTTTAGTATAATCTAACAGGATTATTACTCTACTGAGAGACAAGATTTGCCTTAGATATAGGTTTAGTCGAAAGAATATTAGCAATGACAGTTAAGAAGCCAATAATTAATGTATCATTATCATGAGTATATACCTATCTATAAAAGTCTTTAACATGTTAAATAAGTATTAAATCACTATTTAATAAAAACAAAAGATTCGGAAAAAAATTATTTTAGATTTGATGAAGCTGTGGTAATTCAAATAATATTTGAGTGTGTAAAAAGAAACTTATCTAAAGTGTCTTCTGCATAAGGTACATACTTACATGTATGCCCCCCCCCCCCCCCTTGTGTACCTTGCATTGTAATTTCGTTTTCAGAAAATTAATGTTCTATAAAGAAATATGCTTAACTCCCATTTAATTTTGCATTAGAAAAAGAACACAGAAACAGTCAGCTAAAACAACAAAAACCAGAAATTATGAGGAAAGGGGTAAGCATCCAGAATCTAGTATAAATGCTACAGAAGGTCACGACTACTTTACTCTTGAGTCTCAGGAAAAATGCACAAAAATACCAAATGCTCCAAATGTGGATTTAGCCCTTCAATCTAAAGACAATACTTATGATCACCTTCGAGTAACATTTGCCGGGACCGAAGTGGCAAACAGAGAGAATGATTACGATACAGCAAGCAAAACTGCAAAACTAGAACGTCAATTTTCTGGGAATACCGAAGAAAATTATGATCATCTGAGACGGAAGATAGTCAACAATGAAGACAATATAAATTCGGCTTATAGTCACATCTCACCTCATACAAGTGAACAATCTGATTATGATGTAGCTTCTAGAATTAAAAATACTGAAATAAGCAGTATATACAGTCACCTGAACTCAAATCAATGACATCAAGGAGTTGGTTAACCCGCGACTTTCCCTTCTAATGCACTTGGCGAAGGAATAGTTATTATCATTCTATATTTACGCTGTAGAATAGACGCAGCTACACTAACGAGGGTTATTTTTTTTAATAATGACAACTATAAGAAATCATTTTAGATGTGAAAGGAAATTAGCTTTTATTTATATTGGTATGTCCTAAATCTTAGTAATGTACAGTACATGTAATAAATGTGAAGCATTCTTAAGACAATGAACACTAAAAGAAATTGAAATATCATGAAAATACATTGGGCTTGATAATTTCTTTCTTTGTCCTGCGAAAGGGAACGGAAGTCACAAAATGATACGATTTTTGAGTTCAAGTAGCATTAGTCATTTTAAGTGCTTGAATGAAATTCAAGTCTTGGCCTCGTATCTATTGTGAGGATGACTGGAGTTTTACTGTGTAAAAACTACCATTGAGAAACTCTTAAAGGGTCCTCCACACACCCACAGATTATGTTCTCATATTACTGGGCATTACTTTTAACAAGCATTTCAACCTTTAAAAACTGTCCAGGGATTAAAATGTAATTTATACTGATTTTTTAAAATAATTATTTCACAAGTTTCAAGAATTTTTTATTCCAAGGCGTTTACATACCTAGCACAACAAATTTTGTCTCTTACCCTTTCGTATATTTTTAAGCTCACAGAATAACCATAAAATCTTAATTTTATCGATCAACATATTTTAACAGAAATTTATTTTATTTATAAAAAGTACAGTGTACATAAAAATTATTTTCCTCAAATACATCTCGAGAAAAATCAATAAAGACTCCTTTTGAAGAGAAGAAACATTAATGATTTATATTACATAAAAAAATTGAAATAACATTAAATGCACTGATGTAGAAAAAAATATTTTCAAAATCTTGGTATCAAAGTTCCTTTTCGGAGTTATCTTTCATGTTGCCCGGGACTCAAAAACTTTGGCAAGTCTCTGCATACGTCACCATACTACATTTAGTAATTATATCTGGCCACTGAACTGGACAGATTTAAAAGAGGAAAACTACACAACTGGACGAAAAAAGTGCTGAGAATCCCAAATTTTACTGATAATGTTTGATAATTACTGATACGGTGCTGTTCTTGCTGATAATTACTGATATTTACTGTTATTATTACTGTTGTTGCTGATAATTTTAGTTGTTGCTGATAAATACTAATAATTACTGTCGTCTTTACTGATGAGTCTGATAAATACTGATAAATACTGTTGATGTGCTGTCGTTGCTGAGATTTACTGATAATTACCATGGCCACTTTTTTTAAAGCTAAAATAGAATTAAGGGCTATAAAACTTTCAATTATTACTTTCTTCTATTTAAATAATCATGACATTTAAATATTCTGCTAATGACAAAAATTAAACACTGTTTTTAATTCATTACTATGATACTGTTGTGAAAATTCTGAAATAATTAAATGAAATCTTCAGCGTATATTAGGCAAATGTTTTCTACAAATATATGAGAAAATAGTATGATTTATCTGTAAGCTAGATGAATGGGTTAATTATTGTATATTTTTACTGAAGATATAATTTATAAAATTTTCTGTAAATAAAAAGAACATATTAAGACGATCTTTAAAAAAGTTAACTTCATCACCGCCCTCTTTCGACTCCAAGAAAGGGTAGGGAGGTCAGTGATGTTTATTTTTCAATAATAAGAAATATATCTGGATAAAACATGTTTCTTACAGGTTAGAAAATTTTGATTTGCACCGTTTTCACTCGGTCAACTGGTCAAGAGAGGACTGTCACAGCATTCGCTTTTTAAAAATCGCCTTTCATAGAGCTTTTATTTTTTTGGTTTTTTTCATATTTACGTGTTTAGTTTTCTGGTTTCTTATTGTAAATTTTTTAAAATAATTTTCTCGAAAATGAGAAAGTTTATACTTTTTTTTAAAAAAATCAATTAAGTTAGAGATAAAAACAGGGGCGAATAATTATATTCAATCTGAAGGCACAGGTTTCTCTTTATTTATTATTTATTTATTTATTTATTTTCTATTTATTTATTTTTGAACGTAATGCAAGTGTTTGTAGAATGTCCCAGAATATAACTCTTCTGCATGCACATGTACAAGGTACACACACCACATGTGCAATCGGCAGATGGGGGCTGATTAAAATTTAGTGGTCAGAATCCCTAGTGTCGGTATAAGTGCAGAGGTACACAAGTGTTTAAATATAAAATTTTGATGTCGATGATTTATTAAATTTCATGACACAAAACATTTTCATTCATTATGATTTAAAATTTCATTATTTTTTTAAATTTAATTTTATGACATGAGAATTCAATAAGATAATCATATGAGACCTAGTGTAATCTATTATTATGTTAATAAAGTTAATTATCAAATTGATCGATTTCAATCTTGGATGATCAAATTGATCAGTTTTCATTGATCAGAAATCGATGATCAACCTGTGATTTGGCTGTGCTGTGTAACTCTCTTGGTCCCGGGGTAGAACGGGGACCGGCTACAACTTGTATATTCCATGCAAATTGTAGTGGTCAGCGTAACAATGGGCACTAATCACCTATTGTTCTTCGTCTGCGGCTACCGGTGTACACAATAAACAAACTACCTACACTGTACCTGCTACTTTGAGCAGAAACAATCTTCACCAGTTAATGGAAAAAAGAATTATCCTGTAATTTTAATTTTGACGAATAAAATTGATGTAAAATTTTTTTAGCAAAATAGGACAGTGCCGTATTAAAAGAAAAAAAAAGAAATGAAGTGTTTCAATGCATGAACATTGTACAGATTTAATAATTATTTTAATCTGCATAACCTACCTATCTAAGTTCAGTAATTTATTTCATTTTAAGCACATTTCTTGAGGTAAATGTAAAAAGAATAACCCGGGGAGGGGTGTTTTCTGTTTATAATGGTTTGGGGCCCGTGAAACGGACACGAGATATTGATACGGAACATTTGACTTCCTCTTATAATTAAAAAATTCTGCAAAATGTAAATATAAATTTAAAAGAATTAGTTGGTATAGTGAAAGCAACGTTTGTAATAATTTAAGAATTATCTGAACATAATTCAGAAACAAGGAAACTCGACATCACTGACTCCGAAACAAAAATCTTTAAATTTATGAATTTTGAATGTTGGTAACATGACGTTGTTTATCGCATTCATGAATAAAATTCATGTTCTGAATTTTGTATCATTCATTGATTCTCTAAAATAATTTTATGTACATGTATATAAAAATATGAAATAAGCAATTATAACATGTATGATGTATAAAATATAGCATTAAAGAATTAGCCTTTCGTCGTTAACAGCATTTCAGACCCCCTTTCTGTGCTACATGTACATCCAAGTAAAATCAAGTCAATAAGCGCCCAACCAGCTGTATTGTTCGTTTATACAAAGGCCCCGGACAAGGAGAACATGGAATGAAAAACAAATTATAGTCTTCGTACAAAATTATTTTCTAATTTGTTGTACGGCGTAAAGAATGTACTAATAATTGACCCGATTCTCAAAAGGAAAGTAGAACTCTTACATGTGGTTGAACATGCAACAAACAAGACGGCATTTATGGAAACAGAAATTTCCAGTTTTATTTTATTTTTTCTTTACTGACTGGCCATGTATAACATGTATTAGCAGTTATTTAAATTGATCTCGCTGCTACCGGCAGCGTACAAACCAATTAGGCCGATTCTATATTTACTACTATTAACAAAGAAAGACGCATATTTTAGCCACTGAAAATCCCACTGCATCAGATTTATTGTGTACCGATGGCTTAGCAAATAATTTTTTTAAAGAGCGAAAGAAAGTCTAAGAAAGTGTTGATACCGCATACTGATATATACAGTCTGTATAAAAATCGCATGGAGGGCATAATCAGAGATCTAGAGCGCACTAGTTAAAATATTATAATTTATAAAATTAAAGATAATTTAATTGATTGTTTGAACTTGTCACATTCTTCAATAAAAGGGCATACTGTATGCTTCATGAATATTTTTTTGAGAAATAGTTCATACTGTCTTGTTAAATTGAGAATTGTATGTAAATCGAGAGAGGGGGAAGGTGTACATTACTAATAAAGCTTTACTAATAAAGCTCATGCATGTACATGTATATGTTCAGTTCTCCTCGAGAAATAATAATTACAACCATTAACAAAGATGTCCCCTAAAAGCTTTTTATGATATAATTTGAACATTTTGATATGAAAATGATTATAATAAAATTAATATAGTCATGAAATATGAAGACAATTAAAACATGACTTTAAATAATTTATGTAAGTATACGATATGTTTGCGCATGCGTGAGATAAAGCGGTAGTCTTAAAAAAGGCTCCGAGTATTTTTTTAACTTTTTCTGTTATTTAATCGTTTTAACTCAGTGAAATATAGGGATTTTGTGTCTTATATCCATTGGAACGAAGATGTTCGGGAATGGAGCCTGGAACCGCGATGAAGAAGACGAAGAAACGAAAGAATAGGAATGTAAACATCAGTGGTGAGAGTGAACAGAAAATTTGTTTGAGTACTAATCAAGCTTCAATACCAAGAATCCACAGTATGGATCCTCAAAATGCTCAAATCAATGCAAGTGTGTGCAATCCCGCCATTATGCAATACTCAACACCAAAGGCAAGTTCAAATTATCAAGGAAACGGTCAAATCAATCAGTTCAACCCGTATGGACCTCCAGGTGGTCCAGATCAGGAAAAGATCAGAGGTCATAGTCGAAGAGAACAAGACTGTAATATCTGAGCTCCAGACGGTGAAAAACAATTTATTTGACCTGAATGAACGACACCTGGATCTCCAAATGCGCACAGTGCGGGATAACCTTATCTTTGACGGAATCCCAGAAGCTCAAGAAGAAGATATAGAGGCAGTTTTGAAAGAATTTATCCACACTGTAATGGGAATCGAGGAGGGAATCCAGTTCCACAGAGTACACAGACTTGGAAGGAAAATTCCAAATAAACACCGCCCAATTATAGCAAAATTTGTGTTATTTAAAGAACGCGAGAGAGTAAGAAGAGAGGCCCCCGCCACGCTAGTAGGAAAACCATTTGGGGTCAATGAACAATATCCAAAGGCTATAAACGACCGAAGGAAACTACTCTATCCGCACTATAAACAAGCAAAGCGACAAAACAGAAAAGCGGTGATGGTTGCGGATAAGCTTTTTGTCGATAACGTTAGAGTCTATCGATCAGACCCACTGCCCGATGACAGACTGGTACCAAACCGTAACCATTATGCGCCTGCCATCCCCATGGAATCGGCACCCTCTTCCAAATACAGATCAACTCTACGCCTGAACGTAACGCTGCCCTCCGCCAGCAACCCAGAATTACGCGTTGCGAACACGAAGACTAGGATTACCATAGAGAGCAAAACACCGGATGTGTAAACATATATATATATATATACATATATATAGATATAACGACTCTCTCACCTCTCCAGCAATAATAAGTAATTCAGAATTAAAAATTGTTAGTTTGAATGTCTGTGGGCTCTTATTTAAACTTCAAATTGTAGAATTTATCGAATTTATCAACCAGTATGATATTGTTTGTTTAACAGAAGCAAAAACTGATGAAGCGGATATTATCGATATTCCTAATTTTACAGTATTTAGTAAACATAGGTCAAAATTAGCAATACGGAAATCTGGTGGCATTATAGTATATATTCGAGATACTCTAGCTAAATATGCTACTGTTGTTATAAACGAATGTGACAGTGTACTGTGGATTAAAATTGCAAGTAAAAAATGGGTAACATAGATGATTTGATAATAGGAACTGTTTACATACCACCCTCAAATTCTCGCTTTTCCTCTGTTGAAATTTTTGATGCACTTGAAAGAGAAATATCAAACATAGCAATTGAAAATAAATGTATATGCTTAGTTGGTGATTTTAATAGTAGAGTGTCAACTGGAAAAGATTTTTTAAAATATTTAGAAACTGTAACCCCTGTTATTGGTGAAAATATTTTACTTGAAGAGTATGTTGATGTAAACCAATTGGAAAAATACTATTTTGCTGTTGAGAGTCTGAGAAAATTGAAGATGAACTTAATATATATCTGCGGCTTTATGTTTTACTTTATGCAGATGAAATATATATCTGCGGCTTTATGTTTTACTTTATGCAGATGATACTATTCTATTATCAGAATCCCCTGAAGATCTCCAGTACCAACTTGAGATGTTTGCTGAATACTGTAAAAAATGGCATTTGAAGGTTAATAGTGCTAAAACAAAAATTGTTCTATTTGGTAAAGGTAAAAGATGTAATAATAATACATTTAAGTTTGAAGGTGTTCCATTGGGAATTGTTGAAAATTTTAAATACTTAGGAGTAACATTTAGTAAAAGTGGATCTTTTAATTTGAATATTAAAGATATGTATGAAAAAGCTACAAAAGCAATGTACATGTATGGTGTTCTTGGAAAATGTAGAAAACATAATCTTTCAATTGACTGTAAACTAGATATGTTTGACAAAATAGTGAAACCAATTTTGTTATATGGTTGTGAAATATGGGGATTTTGTAATGTCGCTCTTCTAGAGAGACTTCATCAAAAATTTTGTCAGCATATATTAAATCTTAGGTCTTCCACGCCTAATTTTATGGTGTATGGGGAACTTGTAGATATCCTCTATCTATTAATGTTAAAACTCGTATGATTTCTTTCTGGGCAAAACTTGTGGTATCACAAGGCACTAAAATGTCATCAAAACTATTATTTGTGTTAAAAAATTATGATATACCATGGTGTAATGCTGTTAAAAATATTTTGAATGAGTGTGGATTGGCTTATGTATGGCAACAAAACTCTATTAATATTACACGGTTAAAGAATAAGGTGCAAAATATTTTTGTAGATCAATTTAAACAATTGTGGTATAGTGATATGTATAATTCACCAAAAATTCTTAATTATAGATTGTTTAAAAAATCATTAACTTTTGGGAAATACTTGTTGAATTTACCTCCTAAACTTTCTATGAAATATTGTATTTTTAGAAATGGTAATGCTAAGCTTCCAGTTGAAACAGGCAGATGGTATAATATTGTAAGAGAAAACAGAATTTGTCACTTGTGTTTATGCAAGGAAATAGGAGATGAATTTAATTATTTATTTAAATGCACTGACCCATACATTAAGAATTCTAGATTAAATCTATTGCCCAAGTATTATTATACAAATCCTAATGTTTTTAAGTTTGACCATCTATTTAATTTGAACAGCAGGGAAACATTAATTAAGTTATGTAAATTTATTGGAACTATAATGGAGAGAGTCGGCTCTCTTGGTCTGTGACATTGTCATTTTTTTTCTTTTTTTCTTCGTCTCATGCATGCTTAATTAATTAATTGTAAATATTTTATGTAATATCCTCTCTATACTGTTTTGTACAGTTTATGAGAATAGAGTCTTGTCTTGTCTTGGTAATAATATTTAATAAAACACTTTTCTTAAAACAAATTATAATTTCTCAGGCTATTTTAGTCCCTTCCTAGCTTAAAAAAAGTGACCACAGTAATTATCAGTAAATCTCAGCAACGACAGCACATCAACAGTATTTATCAGTATTTATCAGACTCAACAGTAAAGACGACAGTAATTATCAGTATTTATCAGCAACAACTAAAATTATCAGCAACAACAGTAATAATAACAGTAAATATCAGTAATTATCAGCAAGAACAGTAATTATCAAACATTATCAGTAAAATTTGGGATTCTCAGCACTTTTTCGTCCAGTAGTGCTAGAAACGCACTCGCAACGGATAAACCAATCCGCCCTCTAAATAAATTCGATGGTCACATCCAAATGTTGACATTTCAACAATTTTGTAAAATGACACAACGGGAAAAAATTTTTGTTACACACACAAAAAAAGATTTTTTGTTACACAAGTTTAATCAAAATTATAAAAGGAAATATTTCTGAAAATAAGAAGAGGGCTGTTAGATTTTCCTGTTAATGAAGGAGCAGCAGTATATTTTCGTTATAAGAAGGTAAGATTATTCTATTTTTTTTTTCAAAATAAAAGCCTTTATGTGTCGACTGGAGGTCAGAGAGACATTTTAGACAGTGGCTATATATAGCCATAGGCTTTTGCTGCTGGTCTGGGCTATGAATAAGCAAAAGTGTAAACACACGGGGACCCTAGCTGAGATATTTGCAGTCAAAATAATGACAGTAGACTGGCTTCGATGTTTGAAAATAGAATATACATACTTAACAAATACTTTGAAGTTATTTAAAAGACATTTCGTTATGAAAAAAAGCCTAATTCCTGATATTTGCCGTTAAAGCTGAACACGATTCGTAAAAAGGAATCTGTCCGCCATTTTTATTCCCGATTCTCGCTACTCTGCAAACCCGTATGTAAAGGGCGCAGGACTTAGTTACTGTTCAGTGTAATCAGTCGACACCGGTGTAGACGGACGTATGCTATACAGGACTAGGTAGCGAGAATAATAACGTAATACTTCGTCAAATGCAGCAAAGTAAGATGCCAAATAAATTTACAATTATAATTGGACAATTCAGTGCAGTAAACAAACAACACATATACACATAACTGCAATAAATGTAAACAAAGGTAATGCAAGATAACCAGCAAAAACACGGGTCGCCATTCCACGCCGATACACGTGACAATAAAGCAGTTAGGTGTAACGAATGCGACGAGTTTACCCTAGTGTTGATGTATTGCAGATAATGATATCGAAAATGGCGTATGCCTATTTACGATTCGTGTTCAGCTTTAGCAAGCTTCATAAATACGGACACGTAAAAGACTTAACGGATAATAATCCATATATTTCATACCTATTTAGAAACTCTGTCATTCCTCTAATATTTATTGATCATAATTTAGTGTATCTGAATTTTATTGATAAAACATATACGAAAAATAATATTTATTCACATGCTTTAATGTACATACGCACGAAGTGTAAAAAATTCTTTGTTTTTAATTAAATAATAGGCTAGTTTTATTTCGAAATAAAAGTATTAAATAGATTTTGTTAAACATTATCCTATTTTTCATTCATTATCTATCGTGTGTCCATCTGAAAATTTAAGGGCATTTGCTTAATTCTGGCAGTTAACTGGGAAAGCTGTAAACACAACACACGAAAAATAGCGACGTTCGATGACGTTACAAGGCACTGGAAAGCAATTCAATTTTTTTTACATCTTTCGTGTACAAAGGAAATGCATAGAAATTTTCTTAGCGAAATCCGCGGGTAGAGCAAACGGCTATAGAAATAGCGAAAGACGCTGTCAATGTTGACAAGGTCCTATTTGTGCGCAAGATTGGTTCCTGGCTGTTATTTTAAGATTGAGGGGAAACTCAACTACTGTGAAATCACAAATTTTCGTGGGGGTTTAATTTTCGTTATTTTCAAGTAATGATGAGACCCACGAATTCATGTCCACCACGAAATGTAAAATGTTACATACATAAGTACTAATTAATTCTTAATCCACGAAATCAAATACCCACGAACCAAGAGATTTTTCTCAAACCACGAAAATTTGACCTCACGAAAATATGTGATTTTACAGTATGTGCATCAATGAAATTTCTTAATTATAACTTGCATTTAAGTGGGAGTTATCCAACCTTAATTTTAGCAAAGAGGAAACGTGACGCTGCTTTAGACACTTTGACATTTTCATCCGTGTGCCGTGAGGCGACACAACACATTATATATATCTTAAACGTTAATCTATTTGATGTTTGTTATGTCTTTTAAAGAAAAAAGAACTTAAGAATATAGTGAAAATTTAGATCACAGTGAGAATTTATAACAACTTTTTAGTACAAAAATATAAATCTATATATTAAAATTGAGTACATATTATGTGGAAAATTGAAATAAATTTTTATAATTTCCATATCATTTTACAAATTCTTACAACATTTTATCTTATTTAATGTCAGTCGCCATTTGACGTAGAGGGTTGGCTCTAGAGTCACGGACCTGAAGGAGTCCATCTTTAAGTCGTGGATTCGACTACCACTGCGGGACATGAGATTGGCCCTTAATTCAGATTGGGATCCCGTGACGCAGAAATTGCTAGCCAGAAAAAAAATATTCCTCACAACTGAAACTTTTATTCTCGAAAGGGACGTGAAACAACAACAACAACAACAAAAAAAAATCATTCATGCCACAGTCTTTAAGTACTAACAGTACTTTGATTAGGTTACCTTACCCGTCGTATGTGTCTGTCTTAACGTCTGCCACTCCCTACATGAACCTTGAAAATAACCATTAACATACTTTTCAAAATGGCAATTAGTACATTCTGATATACAGCAGATATTTGACATTTAAGGGTACTTAACACAAACAAAAATTTGATGCGT